AATGATCTAGTACTTGTTGAACGTAGTCACGCTCAAATACCTTCAACAACCTCTCTGCAGTGAACACAGCGGTCCTTGCGTCCACCTTGTCGTTTCCACCGTTGAACTGCCGGAAACAGCTAAAAAGAGACTCCACGGGGTCGCTGTTCAAGCAGCGTGTTAGGACGTACCGGAAGCTGTGGAAAGAATATGAAAGGGATTGAGATTATGCATACGGTTACTAATATTGCTATAAATTTTATATGTGAATAATAGACTTACTTTATGTTGTCAAGAAGGTACTCGGCGAGGGCCACTGTGGACCTTGTCGTCATCATAGTCGCCTCATATGTTTCTTTCGTCATACAGCGAGTGCGTGCACCATCGCCGGAAGTTCTTAGATGTTCCATGTACTCAACGAAGTCCACTTCGAGCCACGACAGTCTCTCATCATCTGTAGTTATGAAGGGCTGCTCCTGGTCATGTCGATCGGTCCACCCAGCAATGTTGTGCAAAGCATACCACTTCCCTATGGCTCTCATGAAGCGGACGGTCGCTCCACAGCCTTCGAAAATAGGCGCCCTTTCATGGCAGCTGGGGTTTTCTTTGAGGTACTCAAGAGTCCCAATAACCACTGGAGAAAATAGGAGTGTTGCTCTAGACACCTTCATTTTCTCGAGGTTGCTGGGGTCGACGTGTGCCCGTGTCAGAAACCTTACCGGCTTCACCAAAAGGCCACTCTGGATGTCGTATAGTTCTTTGAGGAAAAGACCCCCTTGGATCTCCTCATCTCCATCAAACATGCTTCTCTCCAGCAGATTAGTTCTCAAATTTTTGATCAGATGGTTGGGATCAAACGATAAGAATAAAGGGTCGTCTTCCCGAAAAGGATGTGCGATTACATGCTGCAGTGTCTTGTCTTCTGACATGCTCGTGAAGAGCGCGGCATTCGTCTTGTGGTTATCCGTGACAATCCTCGTGACGTGAAATCCAGCGTTCTCAATGGCCTGCATGACACTCAATGTCATTTTTTTCAGTTCGTCGTTCCTCAGGCATCTTGTGAAAAAATAACCGACAGGGATAATGTAGGCTGTCGAAAGCCCACGAATTACAAAACATAGCAGCCTGTTTGCTACTTGGGGCGTGCCTGAACTGGATGCTTCGGACGAGTCTATACCCATGTCAACTAGTCCGAAAATCTTGTCCACTTGACGGTCATACACGACTTTCTGCTGTATCGCCATCTCATCAATAATGAGAGAGCAGTGCCTTTCTTGGTCAATTTTCAATGCCCGAAATTCGGCACGTAGACGGTCTTTGATTAGAGTTGTGACGCCCACTTCTCCGGTGGAACGCCCAACAAACTTTTGGAGGGTGCTACGGCATGGCAGCTTGAACAGTTTCCGAGCCTTGACGTGCTCATATCCCTTGCTTGAGCATGCCTTCCAAAGGACGCACTCACGGAGAACATGCTCCTCATAGCTGGGCCTTGTTTTTCCAAACGACATTATTTGGTGTCTCACAAAAGTGGCAGTTTTGTCCCCTCGGTCTGCTGCAGCGAAGATGTTCTTGAGAGCTTGTACCGCTTTATTCTGCTCAAACTCTTGAACTTTTCTGCTCAACTCATCGCACTTTTCTTGAAGTTTCTGCATCGAGCAATTTAGTCTGTTCACCTTCACCTGCAAGCGGTGCGTGTTCCTTTTGTTTTCTTCAAGCATTGCGGCAACGTTCAGCACGGTTTGGCTTTCTTGATCAGTTGTTGTCGTCTCTTCCGATGATTCCGTCTCGGGATCAGTTTCAGCCGGGGGCTCATCCACTCGATCAGACCTGTCATCTGCATGTTGGCTGTCATTCTCATTGGCACGCTCCTGGTTGGAACGTCGATCTGATTGTGTTTCGTCGTTTTCTTGCCGACTTAGCTTTCTTCGTTTGGGACAGTCACCGCCCTGCAAGTAGGAGGGGTATTCCGGAAACACTGTGGGAATAGCGCTTGACCGGAGGAGCTTTCTCTTGCAGCCTTCTCGGTAGTCTTTATCAGTAAAATGGCGCGAGCACACGACCGACCTCGAAGCAGGTTGCCACGGGCTACCTTTAGCGGTGCCTTGCCTTGATATTCGCTTCAGCCAAGCCGCTCGCCGCTCCACGTTGCTTGGTATTTCAAAATAGTGGTCGCTGGGGCTGTTTCGGTCAGTCGACGGGCAAAGGGGGACACAACAACTTTTAGGCATGATGTGCGCACATGAACCGAAGAGGCTCTACAGTTCCTTCACGACATTGCAGATGTCAGTAAAAAACGTGACTAACCTTGCACCTGAAGGCGCACAACACAACGATGATAGTAGCACGTTGATGCGACGACGGACGATCCTTCACGGCGTTGAAGATACAGTCACGTAAACAGGGCGTAATAGCAGAATAAATAATAACATCTGAACATTGAGTAAAAACAACGATGACAGCAGCCCGTGGGCGCGGGAGAAAAACAAGGAAAAGCGGCGCTGAGAGGTCAGCACGACGGGAGAGCAAGGAAGAGCTCGCCGATACGGAGGGGACACGGGACGCGGGGCGTCGCGCTTTGTGGCGCCGCCCGGGAAAAAAGCGGCCGGGTCGAGAAACTTTGTCTTCACGGTCCTCCTATTGTATTCGAACCGGAGTGGGAGGCCGGAGAAGGGAGCGCGCGGAAAGAAGATCCAGCGGCCGTGACATGGCCGACGCGGGTCGCACAGCGGCATATCTTTGGGAAACCTTTATTATCTACCTGAGAGTCTGCTGATCTTAGAAATGTAGCCTAGATAGATAACAGATCTACTGGAAATGCACATCCAAGTGATGAGACGTATAAACTTTTGCGTAGAATGAAGCGATTTTGCATCAAATTCGGGACTTGAGTCTTTGTTGACGCACACGAAAAATCCACGGAACCCTAGCCATGAGGAGGCTCGCTGTAAACGGCATTGATCAGTTTTATTACATTGACTAAAACATGTTTCGGGTCAGCGTAATTCAGAATGTGAAACTGCTAAAGCCGCAGTCCCACTGCCCACACATCATACAAAAGACAGCGTTCGCTGCAGGCATGATGACAGAAATATCTGCGGACTACGGGGGAAGAATATAAAAAATGATTTAAAGGGACAATGAAGGCAATTTCGGACATCTTTTTGGCGATTGAACTGGGTTCCAGGCACGTCTCAGGCCACGTTGCCCAAATTTCATCCGAAACCGGCGCTTGTGTGCCGCGCAAATCAATTAATCAGTCGCGGTAATAATCATACCGGAATCGACTGGGGCGACGCTCCGAGAGTTGCGGGAGAAGCCAGGAGAAGCGGAGCTCACGTGACCGATGCGAGGCCAAGAAGCGTGACGTCACAAGAGACGCTTCAGCGATTGGTCGAAACGAGAGACGCGCCCTAGGTCACGTTTTGGTTCTCGATTTTTAGGAATACTGTTCTAATTTCCGCTTGAATAATCATGAAAAGTATAAATCGGACCGAAAAGAATTACTAACCCGTAAATAAAGCAGCATAATTGTTTTTTTCTTTGCTACGCTGGAAGCGAAACGGCCAACGAGCCGCTCGTTACCGGCTGGGTGGTCTCCGTCGGGTGACGGCGGAGGCCGCCACACACGTACTCCCGTTCCGTTTGTGTTGGGTTACTGAACGGAAGCTCGAACTCGCTCGCGATAGCGGCATTGCCGTCCATGTTGACAGATTCGACGAAACGAACGCGCCACCGCGCCACCCACCGCGGTAACCAGAATCTCGATCTCATAAATACTACCGATACCGACTATTCACACTTGACGTCACTCCCTACGTCACCTCCGTTTTTGAAGGCCGAGAAACGAGAATGGAGATGGTTCAGTTTCGGTTTCTTTACTTTTCTCGTAGGCACAGAAATAAGCGTCACAAATGGCTACAAAAAATTGGGCAGCATGCTATGCTCCCAAGAAGCATAAAAACACCATTTAAAAAAATTAAATAAAATCGTCTTCATTGTCCCTTTAAATTCTGACTTAAATTACTCCGGTTTTACTATGATGATTTAAATCGAGCCTTTCCCACAAAGATAATCCCCGAAATACTTTATTTATTTACAGCTTGTCTATTATTTGATACTTTCTATATGCCCTTGTTTTTTTGTTTTTTTTTGTATTTAAACAAGAACATTGTCAAGCTAAAAAAAAAAAAAGTACGTAGTACACTTACACAATCCTTTGGCGGAAATGAAAGCGTTTAGCTTTTATTTTTTTTTTCTGCGTCCCAATTTGTTTGTCAGCTACGTAATGTAGCTCCTGCAAACAAATATAAAGGCAAAAAAAAAAAAAAGGCAACAGCAAAACATCAAGAAAACTGATGTTCTATTGCAAACAAATCAAAACGCGAAAAACAAACAAATGCAGATTTTGTTCTAGTTTGTCGGATTAACATCAATAAAAAAAGTTGCAAATTAAACTGTACTTTAAAAAAGCTCAACTGTAAAGTTACCCTCCCTTCCGTATTGTTTTCCGTGATCGAACGGATTGATCAATTAATCTGTCATGTTGAAAAACAGAGCGATGAAAGTGATTATCATGCAAGATATGGATCTGAGTCACAGGTTTCTGCCAAATATAATTAATTTAGAGTCACTAGAATTTGTCGTTAACTCAGAAAATCTATACTAAAATTATTACTGATTAGATAATTTCAATGATTTACTAAAGTAAAGTGAAGCTCCTCCCACCTCTTTCCACTTTAGCGACACTACACTGTCCTCTAACAGAGAGTACGCTGGAGAGGAGGTCCCCTCCTTTCTAGCGTTCGCTCTGCTAAAGTGGAAAGAGCTGGGAGGAGCTTCCACTTTATTCTGAACATGTCACCGACGATAAATAGCTACGATCATGCAACCAGCAGAACGAGCAGAGCCAAACAGAAAAGGACTGAAGAAACAACAGAAGACATTTTTCTCAGGAGCTAGTACTCGTAAAAACCGCTTGGCGGTGTCTCGAGCGCATAGTGAGAGAAAAAAAACAAAAAAGGCCCAAAACAACTGTAAACATCATGGCGGACGTAAGTCATATGATTGTCTCACCTCCCTATCTCTGGTTTCCTGATGCATTACTCACCACAGCTAGTACGATTAGCCGATTTTAAGTAATTAAATAATATCACTATGGAATTGTACCAGCCAAATGGAACAAGCGTTCACATTTATTGTCCGCTACGAGCGATTTATCGGGACATCTTGGGAGTGTCATTTCGCACGCAGTGTGGATCGTCGTTGCGATTATCGGGTTTTCTGTGAATACACAGTTCCAAATGCTAATATTCTTTCTGCTATAACAGGAAATGAAGAAGCACCTTGTTCAGCTGATGTCTCGGTACGGTATTTTTCGGTTTGAATCTTCATGCCAGAAAGTGGTGCCGGTGATCGTGCGGTTAATTTTGCTTCATTGGCGATTCGTTCCAGAGTTCAAGGCCTTCAAGCCATCGTTTTCACGGACCGCGAGGGCGTACCTCTGATAAAAGGTGCATGTTTTGTTTGGCCATGTCGGCTCTATCGCTGTGCCTAACTGGCGTCTACGACTGGCGTTTTTGTCGCCCTATTCCGGCCATGTATCGGAAATGGTCCCGAAGTGGCAAGAAATGGCGTCACCGGCGTGTCATGCTGTTAGATAATAATAATAATAATAGGAGTTTATTTTCCAACAAAGTACAGGTTGGAGGGCGGCTTGGAAAAAAAGCTGTTAGCACAGCTTGACTGGTCCCAAGCCCCCACGACATCACGACATCAGCAGCGGCAGATCAGCGAAAAAAAAGAGAGAAAAAAAAAGATGAGAAAAGAAAATTAACATTATTTTTACACGGAAGAATCATTTGCACGTATATTAAAAACAAAGTCGAGCCGCAGTGTTTTCGAATGCAAACACATGAAATGCACCCACAGGAAAAACATACATTGCACAAAGCCACTCTCGTATAAGAAATACAACAAAACATTCGCATTAGGCATTAGAAATATACAACAAAACATTCGCACTAGGCATTAGAAATACAACAAAACATTCGCATTAGGAGACTCTGGCATTAGGACTGCGACAAATGTCACAGTCCTAATGCCCGAGTCTCACTAGAGCGGCAAACACAAACAACCGACACCGACAAGCCTCCAACACATGCAGCATGCTCGCAATGGCAGGCTTTTAGTCGTTCGGTGCTTGCGAAGTATGTACGAGTAATTGCAAGCCTGCAAAAGATACTCTCGGGTGCACGATGCTCGTGTTTGAGCATTGCCTCCTTTATTCTACAAGGCCTATCAAATCGTGAAAGAATCTGGTTTGCGGCTTGTCGCTCTCGGTTGTTTCTGTTTGTCGCTCAAGTGGGACCTGGGCGTAACAGTTAGCCGTAGAAGTTCTAGCAAAAAAGCGTGAGTGCCGCAGTTGTCGCAACGTCCTGGCTGTTGAAACTTCCGTGGACTGTCAAGCTGGAGACAGACTTGGAGCAGAACGGGCGTCTGTCACATCCACGACACCGCCAGGGTTGCGGTCGGCGACAGCATGACACTGCTATGACGTGATCGGGTGGAAATCGAGGGACCACTTTTGAGGGTCCGGTAAACACACCAGTAACGATGCGGAGCGCAAGTTCGTCTGCTTCTTGCGCACTGACGTCGGAACACTGAGCTTCGGTTTGGCTTTGATGAATGGATAGTGGGTAGACCTCAATGCTAGCTGCCACGCCGCAGCCCCAGCTCAAGAAGCAGGCGAACTTGCGTTCCACATGAGTTGAAGACAAACCAAGCATTTTTTATCCTCTTGGTGACCCATCCTGTCGGTGACTGCCTGTGTCAAAAGGTTTCGGTGACACCTTAAAGGGCCCTTGAAAAAAAAAAAAAAAAAAAAAATGTTTTAGATAGTCTGGTTGGGACACGTGTGTCAAAAAATTAGCTTTATGTGAAAAAAAAAAATTCTTTAGAGCAATATTGACGGCACGAGATGCGATTTAGTTGTTAGTCACCTCCTTTCCTCTTGTTTCCTTTGTCGACATTTCGGGCGCGTGGAGGAGAAATGGATCGGCTTTGCCTTCACGTTGAAGTGGATAGAACGAATGACCATCTCGTTGAGCGAATGACCATTGTGCGACGTTATGAACTTTGCGTGCGGAATTTCAAATAAATTTCTCGCCGTCAATATTGCTCTTAAAAAAAAAAGATATTTTTTTTTGCATAATTTTTTTTTTGACATGCGTGTCCCAACCAGGTTGTTTAAAAATTTTTTTTTTTTACAGGGGCTTTTTAAGGTTTTTATTTGGGACGTCATGATCCAGATTTACTTCGCCGGGATGTCACGAGTTGTGATCCTGGCTGCTTATCATAGTTGGGGACGACGAGTTCAATGGCCAGTGTTGTAAATATAAATGTAATGGTCTTATTAATGTAAATGTAATGTCCAGTGGTCTTGTAAATGTCCCATGTTTAAACCAACACTTTCACAGTTAACAGTCGACATCACTCTTATTTTCGTTGATGAAAGTAGAATTACTCCCACCAAAGACGTCATAGCGAGCATTTGGTTAATCATTGAAAGCCAATCGCAATGACGCCTTTGGTCTCGCACGTTGGCAGTAGTGTCCGAAAAAAAAATAAAAAAGACAAAACTAAAACAATCCCCCTATATGCTCATATAGGACTGCTAGACTTGGCCATTGCAATGTCTTTTTTCATAATTGGTGTTAAATGCTAGTGCATTGTTTGTGCCCTTAAAATACCCTCCTGACTGAAAATCGTAAATGTCGTTTTCGTTGCTCGCAGAGACTGTGGATGTGTTCTGAGCGTTCAGCTTCGACGATTCCGTTACAGCTTGTACTGAAAGTGCTCCAGAACATGCACTGAGGGGGAGTTTCTTGGCCACGGTGGGCATGGCGATGTCACAGGGCAACAAGCTTGGCCTCGGGAAGTGCAACAAAATGGTGTCCTCCTATGGAAATTACCAGGTACATATGCACACTGAAAATCTTCTGAGCATTCTTAGAATGAGTGCACCTATATACCAACTCCACTCAGTGATGCACGCCACTGCGGTCGGGCTTCTGTTGGTACTGCGGATCTGGTTTCTGCGCATGCGTAGTGCCCGCGCCTGGTGTGGGCAAATGCGGGCCTGTTTGTAAACAGTATGTTCGTGTTTAGGCATACTTATTCCAATAATCAGTCCAATGGGTTCTACCTCATTTAGTCAAGCTAGCCAATAATTGTTGATATTAATGTGGTCCACAGCGTCGGTGGAAGTCAATTCAACAAGCCGTCGCTCAATTCTGTCTGATCTTTGATATTGTCACAAGTGACAAAGGATGAGGCTTCAAATAACTGAAGAAACCAAACGTTTAATGAGGTGAACTTGTTCCCAAAACAAAATGGAGAAAGACTAGCGTCGCAGGCGTCAATGTTGGCGAAACAGCAGGATCGAGCGCTGGAGCAAGACTGACTGCGGCTTGCCTCGCGGAGCCCCTTTTGTACACGCGTGGGCATCTGGAACAATCGGTGTAGAAGGTTTGGCGCGTAGAACATTCTAACCTCGAATCATCAACACAGTTCTTGAATTTCAACATCACATGACAGAGTCAACAAAAATGTGTAACCGCGGCCAGGAAATGAACCTTGGCTTTTTGCTTGCAAGGCAAGCACGATAACCGTTAGGCCACGAGCGCGCTGCCTGCTTGGTCAGCTGCGCTCGCGGCAATATTCGGTTGCACCTTTAGGCACTTCCATGTAAGTGCTTCGTTCTGTGCTTAGTTTTGGAGAGCCTTTGTTCCCCAAAACTGCCACTGGAAGTAAAAGAGAGGTTCTTTAATTGAAGCTCTTTGTTACCGTACAAACCAACAAACATTATTAAAAAGGACAATAGAAATTGCACATAACCCTGGCATCTATTTGGATGGTTGAGTGTGTTGGTGTCTACAATACTAAAACTATAGAGGCATATAGAAGCCAACGCAGATGACACCATGTCGTCTATACTGTTTATTATGTGGATTTTTTTCTTTTTTCGTACTGCTTACATGCTGGCTGAAGGTGTTGCAGTCTACAGGCCATCTTAGAAAGAAAAGGGCAGGCCTTAGAGGGGGGGGCGGCCCATGTCCCAAATTTTTCTCGGCTTACGGCCGAGCAGCTGGTACAAGCCACATGCATTCGTCTTGTGTTCTCATAGTAATGATTTCATACCATTACCATAGCATTAAATATGCATAGAAAGCTATGTTGCAAGTTATTGCTGCGACCCAGCACCAAAGACACGCAACTATTTGTGTCTTTGGTGCTGGCACTGTGTATGAACGTAAGCTAAAATAAAAAAAAAACAGACATGATTAAAATAGCGCGAGCTTGACAAGGACAAAAAAGCACACATATGGCAGGACTGGAGCTGACTTCCAACTAAGTTAATTGCATCATCCAACCAAGCAGTATATACCATCGCCTGCAAATATAAAAAACACAAAAATAGTTATACATTAAGATTACATATATACCACATGCTTATCTTCAGATAAAAAGCATCAAGAAAGGATAATCCTTTGTCACTGAGACACATTGATGGCATGCTGACGCACTTGTCTCTTGCTTTTTTTGATAAATAACGTCTCTGTAATTTCCCTCTCTGTCTTGTGCTTTGCTCTCCAAGTTCACGCTATTTGAATCATGTCTAATACAAACCAACGCGGTATTTTAATCATGCCTAATACAAACCAACTAGCCCCATCAAAAGTTGTGATAAAAAAACAGCACCTTTCAAAGGCCCAGATTCGCACATGCAAAACCAAAGGTTTCCTTCTCTGCAAAGAAGTGTCAGATGCTTGATTGGCTGTCAGAAGCAAAAGGTATTCGACGACATTGCTATGGTGAGCCTTATAGAATTCTGTGAATATTGGTTACATGGTGAATAGACGATTTTGCAAGGTGGTCGAATCCCCGTGTAACCAGTCACAAAACAATGCCCTTTGGCGGCGTGCATGGGGCAGCCTTGGAGTGAAGTGGCCCTTATGCTTTCACAGCTATCTTTAGTTGAAGTTGATAGAACAATAAGTCAGTAACACTTTGAAAAAAGCTAGGCAAAGTTGGACACTTATGAGAAGTTTGCGGGTGGGGAAATTTGATGCCTGTAGCAGATGACGCGTGATTAGCAAGAAAATAGTGTGCTGTCTGGGTCACGTGAACAATCTTTTCATAGGCTTTTTGAGTGATCTGGAGTGCATTGAGGGGCAATGGCATTTACTGTTTGTCATATCGTTACCTTGGCTAATGCAGCCCCAGTTAGTCTTAACTAAAAACTAGACTTTTGAGCTTGCACAAAGATTAAGAACCAGTGGAGGTGTTGCATGAAGCATGCATATGATTTTCAAACTGTTCTCGTTAGATACGTCTTTCATGAAGCAAGCAGTATGCGGGTCTCTTTTATTCTCTTTGCATTCGTGAGCAAGGATGGAAAGCATGTCATTATTCCCAAAATCTTCCACTGTGCTCACTGGTGGCATTGGCAAATCCAAAATTGTTTTTCTGCTATAATGTTAGGATGTATTTTCTCTTTCCTTTTGAACATTTTACAGGTCGTCAGCTTCAACAGGCACCCATTAACGATTACCCTTGTCGCCAGCAGTACTGCAAATACAGGTGAGAAACTCAGCTTTGCTCTGCTATCTTGCTGAGCTATGTCCCGTCTCAGTTCATCTTGAGATTAGCAGAAACACGACTGCTCTGGGCGCTTGACTTGCTTAGAGTGATTTCTGCTGCTTTAAAAGGAGCAAAGGGTGGCTGTCAGTGGGCCCAGGTTTCTACATGAATTCTTTATGGTGTTTACACCTTCAGTTATAAGCACACTCCTTATGCCTGCATGATTACCATCTGGACCCAATCTCATTCTAAAGTGTGTTATTATTTGGCTATGTGAGCTGTCGTCTTGTTGTAGCGTTGGTACTTTCAGGACTAATACTACTAGGCAGCAAAGGTCAATGGCTTTTCTGGTGTCTTCTGTTGGGTGTTATAATCTGTTGCAAGGGACATGATGGACATCAATAGATGACTTGTACAAGAGTCGTAACTCATACTCATTTGAGTTTCCTTACCGAATTTGCGGAACTTGTCTTTCAAACTGGACAATAACTAAGTGTAGTCAGCAGTACCTTGTCAGTAATCATGATTGAACAATATCATGGGTGAGGCGTATGTTTTGGTAGGAGCTTATTCTTTAGAATTTTATTTATACTTACTTTTAGTGCACAAGATTCTAGGATTGACCACATGAATCAGATAAACCCCATAATTTTTGTGTTACAAGTATCGTGCATCAATAGACCTCCATTATGTGTAGAGGGGTGATGTTATGGTTACTAAAATCTTGCCTGCTTGCACTGCCTGGCTTCATCAGAGTTTGTTATAGCTTGTGTATATGAACTGGAACATGTAATTTATGTCTAACCAAGGTCTTTTACCACTTGGTTGCTAGGCATGATTCTGAACCTTGAAGAGGACCTTACTACCATCTCACAGAGCCTGCGGAGTGTGGTGGAGACTTCATAGCACCTGTGCAGAAACAGGTGACTGACGAGAATTGTTTATTGGTGATATCATCTCAACTCGAGCATGAATTTTGGGTCGAATTTTTAATTTTCTTAAAAAAATATACATCTTCTGGGACAATCCCTATACGCCTCGCAAGTGGGCTCATTTTCGCCTTTTGCGCATGAGAAAGGAAGTAGCGGTGATGTCAGAACGCCGAGCCCTGATTGGCTGATCGCGACCCCCTATCTCAGCGTCGTCTGCTCCTTTGCAACATCGTCTGCTTGCAACGTTGTCTGCCTCTGTCTTACCTTTCCTGCGACTTTCGGAAGTGCAGGTCTTTACGAGCGAGCTCGACTTCGCCTTTCAGAGAGGGCAGACGAAATAACTCTATCGGTACATTGTTTTTGTCTAACAACTAGCAGACGCGCATCAAGGAGGGAAGTCAAAGGTCTCACTGGCAAGGTGTCCCGAGGCGCCGAGGTTTGTTTGCTAAGAACCGAGAGTGAGCGTGTTAGTGTCCGCAAGTTCCCTCCCAAATACTTTTTTCCTCCTTTCATGTGCGGTGAAACCCCTCATTCTTTAACGGCGTCGGCGGGTTGGCGCAGTTAACGTCGTCTGCTTTACGTCTGCTAGTCAAAGCGATGGCTGCTTTACCTTTCCTGCGTCTGTCGGAGATTCACCGCTTTTTCACCGGCGAGAGTCACCGTTGCCTTCGGAAACAAGGAGATAACAAGAGGAAGAAATTGACTTCTTAATCTAAAATTGAGGTCAGCGATCAAAGTATAATACGGGAAGGTTCACAAGGGTCGCGCGGGCATCTTCCATTCAGCACGCCAGCCGGTCGTGGGCAGACGGTCGCCGAGTCGCGGAGTGCCTGCTAGGCCTAACTGTGGAACTCGCTTGGTCGCGTTCGGTGGAATCGTGGCCGTTGGAGCATTTCCCGGGTGTTTGTGGATCCAGCGTTCTGGTTCGTCGTGGTCTGTTTCAAGTACTTTTTACTTTTTTCTTGCTGCTTGAAATCGGGATGCGTGAGAAGCGCACATAGAAAAATAAACGTCCGTGGGTCGTCGCGACCGCGACGCTGTCGGCCGTGTTGATTTGATCGTAAGAAGTGCGTAAGACAGCTTCGGAGCTGTCGTAGGATTTCGTTGTAACCTGCGCAAAACTTACGAAAATTTCGTTTTGTGAATACGAATTTGTTCTTAAGTTTTGTCTTACGCACATTGTTGGCGTAAGATTGTTTCGTGAATCTGGCCTCTGCACTTCCGAAAGTCGCAGGAAAGGTAAGACAGGCGCAGACGACGTTGCGAGGAGACGACATTGCGAAGGAGCAGACGACGCTCAGATAGGGGGGTCGCGATCAGTCAATCAGGGCTCGGCGTTCTGACGTCACCGCTGCCTCCTGCGCAAGAAGCAGACGAACTTGCCCTCCGCATAATAAAAGAAAACGCAAACGGCGAGTTCGTCGAATTTTTTGTTCTCAAGTTATGGGCCGTTGAAGCGGCCAAGGTGGAAACTGACGTTTTTCCAGCTTATCGGGGTGCCATATTTCACCCCATCCCTTTTCCCTACTTTTTACGCTACATCAATATAACTTTTTGGGAACACTCTTGAGGTATGCTTATTTATGCTAGTTAAGCGTCTAGGTCATAAGATCCTTAATGTTTTTTGTTTTAATTGTCAAAGCGCCTCTCTGTGACAATATTTGACGAAGTTCAGCAAGCTGTGTTGTGTGACCTATTCAACATATTTTTATGCTCTTTACATCACCGTAAAGCTCCAATTAAGCTCTTTCTTTTGAGTATGATTTTATTGCAACGGGGTTCACCGCCCTGGATGCAACGCTCCGGGTGGTGTCGCGGCAGGCGGCGAGCGGGGAGGGGTGTCGCCGAGGGCCACCGCTTTGGGTGCTGCTGGCCCTAGTGACGTCACTGATACTGCCCTTTCTCTTTCTCTTTTGTACACATCAAATTTGTTATCATTAGAAGGAGTATACTCTAAGCTTTCTGAAAATACTAAATATGTTAAGACACTTCATATAGGTCATACGGAAGAGCTGGTAAACATCGTCCAAAAGCGTCATATTGGCAAATTTTCTCAAATTTATTTCATATCTATAATCGCGTTAAAACTATTTATCAGAGAATGAGTGTGTTCACAGGTATCTATTAAAAAAATAAGAGGCACCAATTTTGAATTAATGTATTTTTACGAGTAAGTTTATTTACTGCCAAAACAGTCAAACAAAATCAGATTTCAAGCTTTTATAGCCGCCATACAAAAAATATTACATTTTCTATCTATATTACCTTATAAAGCACTGCAATAGCTAGCTAGGGAAAAAAAGTCAGCCAAATAAAAGGTAAGTTTTTTTAGAAAATCAACCTCCAATTTGCAAAAAATTTGAAATACGTAGTCCTTGCTTTACTAGAATACACTGCCCTTTCTCTTTTATGCACGACATTAAACTTGTTATCAATATAAAGAGTATACTCAGCTTTCTGAAAATACTAAATATGTTACTATATCTTAAATAGGTCACACAGAAGAGCTGATCAAATTTTGACAAATATTCTCAAAGGGACACACTTTGACAATATTTAAAACAAGAGGGAAGATAAATAATCACGATAAAATTATTGACCATAAATAATCTCTATTCTGAGAGGGGCCGAAAAAAGTTGTATTGCACTACCGAAAAAAGGCAGAAAGTAGAAAGGGGTGAAACATGACACCTCCGACAGGCGAGAAAAAGGTCAGTTTGCACTGGGCTGCTTAAGATGTCCCTAACTCGAGAACACAAAAGCCGTTTACAACTCCCTGTAACGCCGAATTAGAGTGAGCTCTTGAAGAGGAGGAGGGAACGGTATTGGGGAGGTGGGTCAAGTAACCTTGGGGGGGGGGGGGGTCACGTGACCTCACGGTTAGCCGACGGCGACGCCCACGCCGCTCAGGCCGGAAACGGGCGCCTAAGAGCTGCGCTCTAAAAATTGCTCGAACTTGCAGTTGCCACTCCCTGTCAGAGAAGGCTTTTCCCCAAGACATTTTTTTTTTTGTCAAAATTAAAAATTCGGCCCCAGATCCATGCCTGAGTTGAGATGAAACCCCCCCTTAAATTATATATCACCATGGAAGCCGACGTTCAGTAGTACATGGTGGACAATGTCATGCTGAATACTCATGCTCTTTTCGTAATTCTGCTCACCCGCACAACTGTTTTCTTCTCTTTGTTGCAGAAAGGGCAGTGCACATTTCTTTTCCAAGGCCTTACCTTTGCTTGTACAAAATAACTGCAATAAATGTTGTGTGTGTCTAACTTCTTTTAACAAGTTGCTCTCGTGTCTGAATATTATTGCGTGCGTGGCAGGGCAGGCAATGCACATGGCTGCCATTCTCAGGAAAGGAGTTGTAATCTCGCTTGACCTGTTTCTTTTTTTTTATCAATCTTTGCTTGCAATTTTTTTCTTGACTGCCATCGTATGTTCTGGTACAGAACCTTTCTGAATGTAATGTGCGCATAAAAGCAAATGTAATGCACTGCTTCGGACCTGTCTTTGATGTAGAACGCGAAATATCATTCATTTTTAAGTTTTAGGCACAAGTTTGTCTTAGTGAACATAAATTTTTAGTTTTCACAGATGTCTGCATTTCTACCCTTGACAACACTGATAATGCATGAGGTGTGATGGCAGTGGTTGCTTTCACTCTTTGCTTCATACTTGGAAAACATGTTACATGTGTGCTCAGGGACGGTGGAGGGGAATGCTTTCCTTTTGTCAGTCTGCTTGAAGATGCGTAACAAATGCTGATGTCTTACCTGGATGTTACACCTGTTAGAAATCAAACATTGCAGAGATAAATTTGACAAATCTTGGTCCCAGAGTACCTCTGGGTATTAGCTATCGCCATCTTTCGGGAATTGCATTTTCATCTTGATAAAATGCGATAACAGCTCGCACAGCTATAAGTAATCTTGAACCCCCCCCCCCCCCTCTATCTCCCCCCCCCCAAAAAAAAAAACAAGGAAAAAGTTTGTACGGTCTTGTAATGTACTCATCAGATTGTCTGGGCAGAGTTGACAGCAACCATTCTAGAACAAAAATATAACATTACTACACCATAGGTATGGCTGCAAACTCACTCTCATTCTAGTAAAAAAAAAAGAAAAAGAAAAAAAGGGAGTCTTGTTGGAAATACTCTTTCTTTAAATTGAATATCTTGGCAAGTGTCGTAGTTTGCAACCGCCGGTCGACCTGTCGCATGGCGGTGGTACACTGCGTCGTTATCTGCAGCCCAGCATCTTTCTTCAGGGTGTCTAGTGACGTGGAATTGTCAGGAAAATATTCATTAACATAAAAAATCAAGGAATTGTCAGGGATGTTGTCAAAAAGCGAGCCCAGTCGGGGAAAATGAGCCGGAAATGCCATCGAGTGCCCTGAGCGAAGACTTGAGGACTTGGCGGCAGAAAAATAGGCAATAAATTCTGCTTAGAGTGGAGCACGGGCTCTGCTCACCTGATGGCGAATGTGCTACAGGATGCAAAGGGAACAGCCGAAAAATCCAGTCCAAGCCTTGGATTAGATTGAGGGCACGACACTAGGTTAGATCTAGTTAGAGCCACTAGATTTAGTAACAAATAAGAAAGCCGCAGACCCCAATCCAAGCCTTAAGCCGAAAGTGTGCATCTGGCGGCCATGCTGTCATTCGGTTATTGACATGTGGGCTTGAGCGCTGTGTTTTTGTCGTGTTTCCTTTCCAGGAGTGGCCTCCTCACTGATGATGTTGGTAGCAAGAAAGCGCTCGTTTAATCCGGACTGGACGAACCCGAATATTTCGGAATATTCCAGTTGGATTAAGCCCGTGCAAAATGATCCTCACAGTGCTAAATGCTCAATGCCTTGTGTTATAATTGTATTATATATTTAACTGTCCCTACAGTGGTCAGGGAATTTCACCTGAAATTATCAGGAAAAACCTGGAAAAGTCGAGAATTTAAAAAAAAAAATAATTTTCCCAGACACTTTGTTCTTGTTTGGAGCCAATTGGGAGCACGCGTTCAATAGTGACAAAT